TGGTATGCTAGTGCTAAAGTAATTGTTCATTATTTCATAATAACTTTAAAAATTTTCGAATGCAAAAAGCTAAACTGTTAAGGTTGAGAAAATAAAAACCAAACAAAGTATACTTCTATTGTAATTTTGAATGAAAATTGAATAATCTTATTGGCTTTCATTGGAAATATTATGAATAATTAAGAAATAAATATCCCATATCTGTGCAATAAGAGATTGGTATTATAAAATGTTCATTTTCATAGAAAACATGTTAAGCTAAGATAATTTATTAGCTAGTATAACTACATCCATTTTAAAACAGAATGCATCAAATAATAGAAGAATGAGCTAATGAGCTAAATCTTAAAGCAAAAATGTCAGCTCCAATCTAGATGACTAAAGTCCATGGCATTATTATGGCGAGGAACTAGCTTATGGAGTCATGGGTGAAGTAATTATTAAAATTTGTGAGCAACGGAATCCAATGTAAGTAAAGCAAATGAATATATAGATAGATGCACACTTATTCAAAAAGATATATTTCAGGCATTCCAAGATCCATTAATCTGTAAGCAAATAGACGAGTGTCGTTATGACAAAAAAATATTGTTTTCTTATGCTTTATTTCAATTATGTGACCATGATATCGCAATCCTAGTATCATTAGTATCATTTATCTAAAATAAGTGGTGTGAATATGGTTTTACTTACCCACTTTCTATCCAGTTTTTGCCTAGTCGTTTAAGGAATTCTAAGTGCGAGGCATTTACTCTGGTCCGCAGCAATTCTATCGTCCTCGCAGTGAACGGTGGTTCTGAGATTCGGGCAGGAAACCGAGGCCCATAGATAGAGTCACTTGCAGAAACGCGTGATATCCAGCGTAGTGAGTTTACCAGACGTTCGGCTACCTGCTGAACATTGGGTTCAACAACTTGGTTCTGAATGAGGGCTAATTGGTTGAGAACGTAACGAATCTTCTCTACAGCGTCGATAGCCTGATCGAGTGGTGGGTACCGCTTTATATCACTTCTCTCTAAGGTAGATGGATGCAAAAGGATCCCTTGAAATTACTAATTTATAGATGATTTCATAATTATTTAGTAAAAATCATGGAAAACAAAGCTAGTTAAACAATGGGTAGGGCTAAGGTCAATCTCAAAAACTATTGTGTGTATAGTACGTATTTTCAAAAGAACCTTTGAATCATATCCTTAGGACCGTGTTCAAGAAGGAAAGATAAAAAATATTAATCAAATGAT